GCTTATATTCAGTCTATGACCTCGATAGCATTACTAAATTCAAGTAAGGTAAGAATCCCACAGAATCCTTGCAGAGAATCAGGATGCTTTTCACGCAGTGGTGAATTTGAAGAATTTAAGAAAAAAAAAAGTACAGAAACTTCGTAGAAAGTTAAATGATGGAGGATTCAGCTGGCAAAGGAAAAAAAAATGGACGATTAACGTAAAATTCGAAAAAGTCAATTCTCTAATGGACAACTTTTTTTTTCTTGAAAATAGGTAAGAAATGTATTATTTGGGATGGTTACGAGAGGGTGAACTTGTCCCCCCTAGCACTTCATCCCTTAAAAAAACAGAGAATCGCGCTTCTCACAAGACGCGCGAGACCCCCTGCGCCGGAATGACAAATGGATTGGTCCGATCACGCAGAGAGCACAGAGCGATACTCGAATTTCGAATGCGTTCCTCTTTTATTTTTCGCTCTTTTTCTTTCTTTCTTGTTTCCCCGCGCTGTCGGGACTCTTGATCGATGGAGAACTCGATCATGTGTAGAAAATTTGGGATACGACTTCTCCCTCTTTCTCGCCTTTCTTTATTTTTTAAACCCCGCGAATTCCTTAATTCGAATTTTCACGGGACGCTTGTCCCGCACACCCGTTACAACACTTACGGCCACCATTTTATCCAATCCCAGTAACGTAGTACGGTTACTGTGGCTAACGATGAAAATTTCACCCTTTTCTCCATATGATTTCATCGCTCGAGCGCACAGCCACTACTATTTATTTTCGCCCTGTCAAAACGAGTGAGCGATGATGTCGCGATGCTAATTTCACATGTGGGAACCGATACGCGTCGATCGGTAACGGATAAAAACGTGTCCCAGTCCGATGACGATCTCCACGACCGAACACAAGGGACAGCTTTACTTAATAATATTTAAAAATCCTTAAATGGAATCTGGTCCAAGACCTTCTGAAACATATATCAGTCATACATCCCGGACGTGTGTGTATTTTAAAATGCATAAATAGAAAGAGAATTTTTTATTTCTATTCTAACCTCAAAGAATAGACATACATATGCATCCTTGGTTGGAGCTAATGGCTTAGCAGTCTGGATGAGAATTTCTGGTAATTGCGAACACAGAATTTTATGCACCCGTACACGTAAGCCGCACCCGATTCAATTTTCAACGCACTGTCAGCCATCCGTAAATACGACGGGCGATGATTTACTGGTAAAGACAAGACGGATCCACTTGTTTTTCCAGGTATTATATGAAAATCATAAGACTAATTGGCGGTGGTCTGGAAGACCGTGACGATAAAGCGCCAGGGGCGACACTAGCGGCGATGCTTGCAGTTACAACAACGCGTAAGGCAACGCATCTGGTAAAAATCAGTGTTCCGTGATGGCGTGGACAGCTCGCGGCACGTTTAATGATGTAAAACGGTACAGCGGTTCGTTGTGTACCTCTCGAAAATCAAATATTGATTTTTGGGCCTATACACGCGCTGGGCACTGCGTCACGCGATGCGCGCCTGCTTTTATTAAGTGATTACTCTCATTAGCCTGCACGCGATGCGCTTTGTAATGCCTTTGCGAGCCGATGAAGCACAAAATGGCGTTATGGCCATCTTTACCCCAGGGATACGTGTTACTTTCTTCGAATCCTAATAGCCATTTAAAGAACCGATCGACCTTCAATCCTCGCGATTCTTATTTTTCATTCATTTTCCATTCGGACGATTTGAATCTTGGCATTTGTGCGGGGCATTCTACTCAAATTGACTGGGTTGGTATACCTGTAGATCAGTCGTTCTTGATCCATTTGTATATGTACGTATTAATGTATATCTATGAAACGCAGTGTATGGATCGTGTGTATATTACATGGAGAGGGAGATCAGAGTCGATCAAGATTCATAAATTAATTACTTTTAGCCGATTCGATATGCTGGCTAATTTAAATTCTTTTGGAAGCCTTCGGAATTGTTGTAGGGATTCTTCAAGACCGTCGACGATCCACGATCCAAGTGGACTGATGGCAGAAACACGCGGGAAGGCAGACGCCACCTTAAGTATTTCTGATCGAATTCCAAATGGCTGGTTCGTCGTCCGGCCGGCCGGCCGCAATAAGAATTCGAACCCCCGTTGCCCTTCTATGAGCAAAACGATCGGTACAAGGCAAAATAAGCATCAGGGAAACGCAAAGCCACGATCGAATTGGTATGTGATAAAAACTAAACTATTCTGACGTCCAATTGCACGTGGATGCTAATTGATAGTAATTAAGTAATTGGAACATTGAATTATGACATATTACGTACGGTCTTAATATCCACGATATTTTCCTTATACAAAATATATACAATTCTACTTTACTTATTCTCTGAATAGACTCGTCAAGTTGTTGTATATATAATAAATAAACTGATGGAGTGTAGATATCAAATTGTGACTATGATCTACGCCAATGAACGTCGACTCGTTTGTTTGGTCTACATAATCTTGATCGCTTGCAGTGACATCTGTGTTTCGTAACGTAACATATACGGTCGGTATGGCCTTACCATAGAAATTTTAGAAAAAAACAGATTTCACTAGAGAAAATTTATTTCATATTGACGATCACCATCTTTATTTCTTTTTGTATGAACGTGAAGGAAAATATGTAAAAAAGTGATATTTCTTTTAATAAAAAATATTTGTTATCTCCTGTCGATAATAGTTTACCGAGCGTGTGCTAGATGTCACTGCTGCTGCTATGGTGAAATCCCAGTATCAAATAAAATCAACGTAGTGTAGCAGAACTCAGATACACCAACGTAGAAGAGTTGACAACACTAGTAACGTAATCCCCAAGCCAATCTCTAAAATCCTGAAAACATTTTCCGTGCAGGATACACCAAGCGGACAAAAACGGGATTAAAATCCGCCGAGTTTCGCATCGATCCGTGCCAAATGAGGTTCTCGAAAAATGCTCGAATCTAGATAAGCGTGTAACTATCGTAATAGGTCAAATGAGCAGAGCAGAAATAAAAAGAAACGACTATTTCCAGCAATGTAAAATTCTTCGTCAACCGTTAATACGAAAAGTTTCCAGTTTTTCGGTAATCCTCCATAATTAACCGTGCCTCAGGTTGGATTTTATCAGTGAGTAGGTATAGAGTTGGCCCGTCAAACTTGGTTACACAAGAAACTCAAGAGTTCTCAAGAACTTGACAGTAGCAGCCAGGGGACAGAATGTCGACGATGGAAAGGAAGTAAATGGCAGGTGGCTGAAGAAGGGATTTTGCAAGACGAATTAGATGCCAGTCACGGAACACTGGATTGAGAAAAGTTTCGCAAGACTGTAAACCTCACAAAATTTTCATTGGTTAAGGAGATACAAGAGGTTAAGAAGGTACAAGAAAGAGCAAGTATGTAGAAGAACTATGAAACCCGGAGTTAGGAGTATGGAAGAAAGAAGAAAGTACAGGGTCGCCAAGGGAGTTTCAACAAGTTCGCTAAGAGAGCGCCGGGCACTCTCTAGTCTCTCTCTCTCTCTCTCTCTCTCTCTCTCTCTCTCTCCCTCTCTCTCTCCCTCTCTCTCTCCCTCTCTGTGGTTTTGCGTAGGACCGTGAGTATAGAGTGGATAGAAAGTAGGGGTGCCCTGTTGCCAACGGAGGATGCCTTATGAATGGACTTTCATTCAAACTTTACCCGTTCCACGATGCGTACTTGAGATCCGCGAATGAGAAGGACTTTCAAGGTTTTCGGGTAGCCCGCACGCTCCGCTTTATTTCGAATCGATTGCCGAAACAGCTATTCTCTCTCCCTTTCTCTCTCTCTTACTCTCTTCTTCCATCACGCTCTGTGGTCATCTCTCTCAGCCTCACCTCGATCCAATTTATTGTATCTTTCGCGCTCTCTCTCTCTCTCACTCTCTCTCCCTCTATTCCCGCATCTCTCTTACTCATGCTTCCGCATTATTCTCTCTCTCTCCTTTCCTCTCCCCTCTCCCCATGGACGGTCTACATATGTCGTCAGTGTAATTCGGACACTTACTCTTCCGCATTCGAGGATGTTCGGGCTAATTTAGCCTCCATCGGTGATTCAAAATTGTTCGATTTACAGAGTAGCGAGAGTGCGAGCACGTAAATCGTACGAAAGATAAATGTGAAGGACATCGCGGGCTGACAGAAAAGACAATGTGACCAACGAAACGACGATGAAATCGAAGTGCAAGAAACAAATTGATTTTTACGTTAAAAGTCGACTCAAGCCAGAACTCCCCGATCCTACGTGTCTCGTAAATCACGATTCGACCGCATTGCAGAAGTGGCGGCAGGCACTCGTAGGAAACGAAATGCTGGCCCTCTCAGCGCGATTCGCGACGTAAGATCGTCCAAAGATGGTAAGCAGGGCACGGAAAACGCGGTGCGCGGTATCCCGGGCAGGAGCTGAAACTTCCTTTTCTTGGGGGTGAGCGATCGATCCCCCGAAATTCCCGCGAAGAGTGAACGTGCAATAGTGTCGGGAGCGTGTGTGTGCGTGTGCATGCATATATGTGCGTGGGAAGGGGTCAGGAGGGTAGGGGGA